AGTGAGATACAGGGCCCATCCTCCCACTCTTTGGAGGCCACTTCTCCACCTTTAATTCTTCCTCCTACACCCGTGGTCGGCAAACTGCAGCTCGCGAGCCACATGCGGCTCTTTGGGCCCTTGAGTGTGGCCCTTCCTAAGCCTTAGGAGTACCCTAATTAAGTTAATAACAATGAAACCTACCTATACAGTTTAAGTTTAAAAAATTTGGCTCTCAAAAGAAATTTCAATCGTTGTACTGTTGATATTTGGCTCTGTTGACTAATGAGTTTGCTGACCACTGTCCTACACCATCACTCACGTGCTCCAACAGATGAACTTCCTGGCCTGTCTCACCTGGCCCATAGGGAATGGCTGGTCTATGCAGGGCATGTTCTGACACCTACATCTGGCCTGATCTGCAACAGGGTCTGTGCACAAGGACATGGTATACTTTCATGTGGGTGGCAGACAAGGATGCTGGCTGACTGGGTGCTGAAATCAGCCCATGTTCCACTAGCAAGTCCTGTGCATTCATGGTGGAACTGTGTGCCTAAAAACAGTTCTTTTTCTAAGTAACACAAAGACCTAGCAACAGTTCCCTATCTTCCTAGGCTCCACTTACTCAACCTGAGCCCCATTCCTTAAAGAATGTATACTCTAAAAAGTAATTGCAGGAGACTGTAATTAGATACATGAATTTCCGATATTTGACTATTTAAATTTTATAGCATTACCCTCCTTATCCTTTCATAATCTAATAACACAAAAAGTACCCTTGCCAAAACCGGTTTGGCTCAGTGGATAGAGCGTCGGCCTGCGGACTGAAGGGTCCCGGGTTCGATTCCGGTCAAGGGCGTGTGCCTGGGTTGCGGGCACATCCCCAGTGGGAGATGTGCAGGAGGCAGCTGATCGATGTTTCTCTCTCATCAATGTTTCTGGCTCTCTATCTCTCTCCCTTCCTCTCTGTAAAAAATCAATAAAATATATTAAAAAAAAAAGTACCCTCAATGGTAGGTAACTAAGCCATTAGAAGTCCATGGAGGAGATACTGTGGGTCTGGGACCAAATTTATCTAGATCAGTGGCTCTCAAATTTAAAAGTGCATCGGTGTGACTTGGAGGGCTTGTTACAACACGGTTGCTGAGCTCTATCCACAGCATTTCTGATTCAGTAGGTCTAAGGTGGAGCCCAAAGGTTGCATTTTTAACAAGTTCTGGGTCGGGTTCATGCTTTGAGAACCACTGATCTATATGCTTCTTCACTCATACTACAGACAAGCTCCTTGCTCCACCAATTTTGTCCATGTAAAGACATACACAGCCACATTATACTCTTACAATGGTAACAACAAGAACAGTAGCTAACAGTAATTAAACCCTATTTTCCAGGCACCTGCTATGTGTTAGTTCATGTGGAGGGTGAGAGAATGAGAGGGTGAAAGAGAAAGGAGAGAGATTTTTGAAGCCACGTATTGGCCCAAATCTACAACCTTCCAAAGATAGATCCCTACCTAACACTGCAGGTAAAGATGTGAGGAAAGAGGTTAAAGGAGAAAAGTAGGAAAAATTCTGCTATAAAAAGAGCCAATTTAGGAAAACTTTGCAGTAGCATTAATGAGTGATTGCTGGGTTCCAAACTGTGTTCTCCTTGGCATTTACCTTCATTAACAGGAGCTTTATGTCAGAGACTGTGACTGGGTGTGCAGATGTGTGTGTGTGTGTGTGTGTGTGTGTGTGTGTGTGTGTGTACTCTTATTGCTCTGCTATTCTCTAATCATCCAACTTGGGACAAGTTCTTAACCTCTTTAAGTTTAATGCATCTTATCTGTGAAATACTAATAATACCAATACCACTAATACTACCACAATGGTGGGTTGTTCAATGCTCACAGATGGCTTCCACCCAATATCTATGGCCCTTGCCATGTGGCTTTGCAGTTCTCCCCATCAAGAGGCGGAGCTCCTACCTTCCTCATGGCCCAGCTCTGCGAAGCCAATCCCGCATCCTCACACACCAGGTGCTACCTGATAAAGAAAACAACTGGCGCACAGAGATTTTCTTTTTACACAGTTCCAAGCAATTAAGTCAAATGATTTTATTTCTCTCTTATACCCTTCTGGGTGTTGAGGTAGAGTACCTTTCAAAGTTACTTTCCATTACCAGAGGGTAAGGGGAGTGGGGGAAGTAGAAGACGGTATAGGGAGGATAAGTTGGAGGAGACTTGACTTGGGTGGTGAACACACAATACAATATACAGATGATGTATATAGAATTGTACACCCGAAACCTATGTAATTTTATTAACCAGTCACCCCAATAAAAAAAAATGAAATAGAAAATAAATAAATAAATAAATAATCCTATCAAGAGTAAAGCAAAAACAAAATTACTTCAGAAGGACATTTACCTCACAAGTGACTCACTTACTTTTTAAAGTGTCTAACTACAGCTGTTCCTAGTTGACTGTTATAAAGCAAGTTCTTCTGCTAAATCAAATAATGACCAGGCATGGCAGCCTTGACTGAAGTCTGAGGGTCCTGGAAAACTGCAGTTCTAGAGCCTGCCTTTGGAAAGAGCACGGCTTCTACACACTCAACTTCTCAGGACAGAGTTAAGATTTTGCCTGAGCTCAAGGAAAACGGGAACATGAGATAGTCAGTTGCATAGTCATTCTGGTGCCCCACAGGAAAGGTCATGGATGTTACAGTGGATTTCACTTTAGAAAAGGGCTAAACAAACAAACAAACAAAAAATCCCACAGTGTATTTGCCATGACCTGAACTTGCCAACCCAGCTGTGGCAGCTGGCTCACCTGAGCTCTGTAACCCAGTGCTGGGTGGGCCCAAGGCTGGCATGCCTGCATCTGAACTCTAGCTGGGTGTCCTGCACTCATCCCAGCGGAGCCCGGGCACCTCTGGGCTCTCCATTTGTTTGTTTTACAAGGTCAAACCTGGACAAAATAGGGAAAAACATTTTTTTCTAAAAGACAACTCTTTGGTGTTCAGGCATGTATGTTTCCATTGTAGTTTTTATTCAGCATGCCTCTTACTTGATGCACCTAATTATCTGTACATATAAAAGCCCAGTGACTGGGACGGTGGAATGACCAGAACAACCAGAATGACCGGTGGCTATGACATGCACTGTTGCAGCCAACCAGCCTGATTCAGGCCCCAATTGCCCCCCACCCTCACCCCTGCCCGGCGGTCCGCCCCCAATTGGCTCCCAACACCCCAATTGGGGGCAGAGCCGGCTGGCCAACCACCCACGGTCCCTCCTCCCCCCAGCCTGATGGGCCCCATTGGGGTGGGCTGGCCAGACCCCACCCGTGCATGAATTTGTGCACTGGGCCTCTAGAATATAAATATTATATAAAAATATATACATTAGCACAGAAAAAATAATATAAATACTTAAGCTCATATGTAAGTGAATACTCTTCTAAATCAATGTTAGAATGCAGTTTTGGCTAAGGCACAGTCAGCCAAAATGAGAAAGTACTCCACCAAGAAGCATTCCATTTCAAAAGGAAGTGGTGAGGGCTCAGGATTTGGAAGATGAGGGACAGCACAGTGCCAGTTCATAACGGCATTCATAAGTACCAGCTCTCTTTCCATTTCCTGTCTTCCTTCCCACTTTCTAAGCACAGACAGAACATAAACCATAGTGATCAAATGAGAAGAGGTGGGTAAAAAGCTAGCTGGAGAGTGAGAGAATTTGGACATGCTCCCTTTTTCTACTTCAAGTTCAAACTGATAGTAGATGATGAGAGAGGAGAAGCGAACATTTAAATTGAATTTAGAGTTTGTGTTATCCTGACATGGGTATTTTTGTAAATGGACTGAGAGTGAATTTTGAGTTTTAAAGATGTAGAGAGTATCCAGAAGCCAGGGAAGAGCCAGATCACAGGGAAGGTTTAGAGCAGTGGTTCTCAACCTTCCTAATGCTGCGACCCTTTAATACAGTTCCTCATGTTGTGGTGACCCCCAATTTCATTGTTACAAATTGAACATAATTAAAGCGTAGTGATTAATCACAAAAACAATATGTAATTATATATGTATTTTCTGATGGTCTTAGGTGACCCCTGTGAAAGGGTCGTTCAACCCCCAAAGGGGTCTCGACCCACAGGTTGAGAACCGCTGGTTTGGAGCAAAGGAAAAGTGGAGATAAAAATAAAGTCCCAATAATTGTTCAAAGGACTGGCTATATTTGTTTTGTGATTAATAATGAAGTGTCGGCTCACTATCTGGAAACCATCTGCAATATTAAATTCTGCACAAAGCAGAAGAAAGAGCACTAAAATGAACAAGTCATATGCATAGCGTGGGGCTTTTGTTTTCTTTAAATTATTTGGATTGATTATCCTAATAAGCAATGAAACCTTAGCTTGTTTGATTCACCTTAATTATTCTGTATTGCCTAAAATGGTAGCCTAAAACCCCGAGTGGAAAGCAAAACCGAAGAGACGACGCCTGTAACAGAAACAGTATGCCAGCAGTCTCTATGCCCTGTCATCTCGGCCCCTCTGCCATTTGATCCATCTGCCCTTCTGTGGATGCTGATGTGCAATTGGTATGAGACTTAGCTTCCCTTGACCATGCTCACAAACCAATGAGAGTGACCCCAAACCTTCCATTGCTTTGTGACTATTTCTCCTTCCTAATTTATGAGCACACGTGATTGTGACATAAACGCAGGGGGACCTACAGGGTACTGATTTAAAGTTCTCTTTCCTGCTTTTAGGTTATGCATACGACTATGAACCCTGACTTCGGTTCAGAAAGGTGGCCGTGGCGGCCTAATTATGTCCATGCTGGAAAGATGTAGAATTTTTCATTCAACTTTAAAGATTTTTCTCATTACAAAAAAAATGCATTCCCGTACAATTCACAGCTGGGACAACGAGAGCCTGATCGTCTGCTTGAGTAGGGGCATTCCCCACAAAACAAGGCCTTTCAAGTGGTGGGCTTTCTGAGAGCTTCACAAACCACACTTCACACCCCTTGTCCTCTTACCTCCTCAGTGGTGCTGGAGAAGGGCCGAGGAGTCCAGGGAACCGACGATGTGTCTGTACTTCCAGTCATCTGCAGACTGGGGGGCTGCCCCTGGCTGCTGTTTCGGCTGGAGTTTTCGGGAGTAGTTCTGGTGAAGGCCTCTGTGGTATTGCTAATGAGCTGTTCCGGGCTGTACGGAGCAGCATTGAATGCAGTGGGGATTTGGGGAGGAGACGTGTTTCTAATGCTCCTTACTGAAAATTCTGCTCCCAGGCCAGCTGAGGTAAAGAAAGGACAGTTGCTAAAATTACCCTCATGTTTTATGGATTCTTCACACAAAAGCAATTTTACTTAGAAAAAGAAGACTCTTTAATGATGGATGTGTGGATAAGCTTTAGTTATATGAAAAATCAGAGATACATTGAGTATCACCATGCTCATTTGCCCTGTTCAGTTCACCCATCTTTATCTAGCAACAACATCCCAGCTCTGTGTAGGAGAAAGAATTAAATTCACTCTATGAACATTAGGGTTCGCTGACTTGGTTTCAGGGGTTCAATGAATCTCTAAAAGCCTCATGCAAAATTCTGCATATATGAACATATGTACTTTTCTTCTGTGGGGGACTTCCACAATTTCTGTCATTAAACAAAGTAGCAGATTGAGAATCACTGTTAATGACTTGCCGAACTTTGCCACGAAGATTGCTGATTCCTTGAGAAATTAACGGCATTTCTTTAACCATAGTGCAAACTGTTTCTGATCCTGACTATGTGAGACCAAATCAGGGGACAGTTCTACTTTCTGAACTCCTTCTCTTTGGAAGAACAGTTAATTGGTTTAAGAGCTGGTAGGATTAATTAATTTACAGCTTTGCTCTGCAAGGCGGAATTAACTATACTTTAAAAAAATTAGTTTGTGAATTGTTTTCCTAGCTATAATTTTAAAATGTGCTTCTATCTCATGGGGATCCTGCTAACATGCAAATTCTGATTCAACAGATAGTGTCAGATTCAGCTCTTCTAACAAGTTCCTGGTGATGTGGTGCTGATGGTCTTTGGACCACTCTTTGCGAAGCAATACTCTAGAGCAATGGTTCTCAACCTTGGCTGCACATTAGAATCACCTGGGAATCTTTTTAAAATCCTGATTTCTGGGCCTCATCCTCCAGAAATTCTGTTTCTTTGTTACTAATGTTGTGGCCCCACCCCATAACAAAGAAACAGAATGTCTGGAGGATGAGGCCCAGAAATCAGGATTTTAAAAAGATTCCCAGGTGATTCTAATGTGCAGCCAAGGTTGAGAGCCACTGTTCTAGAGAATGGTAGTATTGAAAGGACTGTACATTATGGGCCGAGGGGGTATGTTTAGATGCTCCATCAGATCCACAGTGAATCACAGTTTTCTGGGATATAAAACCCACAAAATCTTGCCCAATTAGATAATCATAACTTTGAAAGTTTCTGGTTAGAGACGGGCAGAAGAAAATTTATCCTTTTTACTGATCCTTTACTGGTTCATTCAAACAGCTATTTATTAAACAATCACTATGTGTCAGGTGGAGGTGTCTTGAAGATGCTATTAGTCATCACATTTTCCCAGTTCTGATCCACCTTACTGACCCCTTTTTTGGACCTCATTCATTTCTATTCCAATTTAAGCTAACATTTCATATGATAATGTATATAAAAAAGAGGGGGATCTGGTATAAAAAGAGAATAAAGATGGAAAAGGTATTTTTAAAATTTAGCAAGATGTAAATAGCAGTGCTCTTAAAAGTTAATAAAATGATTACCGCTACTAAGCATTCTTTCCATGGGATGTGGAGGGTTATGTAAAGTAACCTGTACATAAGGTGCTAGAGTTAGCAAATAAAAACACATGATGCCCAGTTAAATTACAGTGTTAAACAACCAATAGTTCAGCATATTTAATATATCTCAAATACATAATGTTACAAAGGTTATATTATATTGTATATTATAAATATACTAAAATTATTTGTCATTTATCTGAAATCCTATATAATAAAGAGGTAATATGCAAATTGACTGTCACACCCTCACAAGGTGGCTGCCTATGACCAGGTTGGCAGGGGGGTTATTGAGGGTCGACCAAATGACTGAACAAGCAGGCTGCGTGGGGTGACCAGGCCGGCTGGGGGGCCATGAGGGGTGACTAGGTTGGAGGGGGGGCAGTTGAGGGTGACCAGGTGGGCAGTTGGAGGTGACCAGGCCAGCAGGAGGGGGCAGTAAGAGGTGACCAGGCCAGTGGGGGGGGGGGAGGCAGTTAGGAGCAACTAGGCTGGTGGGGGGGCAGTTGGGTGTAACCTGGTCAGCAGTGGAGGGGCAGTTAGGGGCGACCAGGCAGGCAGGCAGGTGAGTGATTAGGAGTCAGTGGTCCAGGATTGTGAAAGAGATCCCAGATTGGAGAAGGTGCAGGCTGGGCTGTGGGGATCCCCCTGTGCACAAATTTCATGCACCCAGCCTCTAGTTTAAATATAACTGGGTGTTGTGTGATTATGTCAACCCTACAGCACTTCTACTAGATCTAGGCTTTGATAGATTTCCCCCCTTAATTTCTGTTTGTTTTTATCTTTCAGAATCCAGTGCCACTATCACTGCCATGTGCTTGGGGGAGCCACTCTGAACACAGACCAGGGGATTTATTTATCCCTGGAGTGTTAAACCCAACTGAACACGACAAACCCAACTATAATGTTAGGGAGACTTCCAACTCCACGAAACAGTCTTAAAACTTGCCTTAATTGAGTTAGGTAATTGAATGTCCCTTTAACACATTGTTTGTGGGTAGTTTTTATCACGCGCTAACAGGTGGCGCGGGCCATTTTTGCTAATTTTTTGCACAAATGGCAACGTTCAGTAAAATTACGATAACTTTAGTTTACGTATTTATACGTTACCCGCATTCTACCGCTAGTCTATAAAAAACATATTAATATGTGTCCCGCGCTCTACTACACTGGTAGAACGTATAAATATGGAAAATGTTTAAACACGTTTCCCGCATACAATGTGTTAAGTAGATATTTCTTTTGCTGGGATATAAAAATTTCTGTATGTAGAGATTAGTATTTTGGTCATTTTGAACTTTGGCCAATGCTGATCCTCTGAGTTGATTACAACCTGTGGCAATTTTAGCTCTTAGAACTTAGAAAAAAAAAAAGATTTAATGATGGGTTAAGACAAAAACAGCTTTCAAATACCTAGCATGTAATTACATGTCTTAGCATGTAGGCCTATGTTTACTCTTTCTTGCTAAGGAGCACTTGCTAAGTGCTCACCCTAAGAACTTTTAGAAAAATTTGTCAACTTTCATAATTAACTCAATGGATGAAACAAGACTCTCCCAAAATTAGATAAATGATCAAAACATTCTTGAAATGTCCTCTGTGAATAACAGCTTACTACCATTGCATTTGGTTTTGAAATATCTTGCAGAAAAATTTCTAGTCTTCTGTAATTGTCTTTAATTAACCTTCTACATTTATTTATAAAACACCCCTAACCAAACAAGTTCATTTCCATTTTAGGCCACCACCTTTTTCCAAAGAAAGAATCTACGGAATATCCAAGTTAAGTACCCCTTCATTTGACTCCTGTGTTTTTAACTTGTGCTATTTCAGAAGCAGGGAAGAAGTTTTAGTTTAACATTGTTTCCAAATTTTGTGAAATTTAAAGCTGTGGTTCACAGCCTTTGGTAGGCATCAGAATCACCTTCGGAGCGTGGCCCTTCCCCTAGAAATTGTGATTCAGTAGATTTGGTGTGGGACCCACCACCTGCATTTCTAACAACATTCTCAGGTGATTCTAATATACATCTAAGTATATGATTTTATTCACATACACACTACAAGCAAAAACTGAAATTTAATTATTCCTGATGTGGGTATTTTTATTTTTATTTGGTTAATCCTCACTGGAAAATATTTTTCCCATTGATTTTTAGAGAGAGTGGAAGGGAGTAAAGGATGGAGGGAGAGAGAGAGAGAAGGAAAGAGAGAGAGAGAGAGAGAGAGAGAGAGAGAGAGAGAGAGAGAGAGAGAAACATCAATGTGAGAGAGACCTATCAATTGGTTGCCTCTCACACACGCCCCAACTAGGGATCAAACCTGCAACCCAGATATGTGCCCTTGATCCGGAATCAACCCTGAAACACTTTGGTGCAAAGACCAATGCTCTAACCACTGAGTTACACCAGCTAGGGTCCTTTTGTGGGTATGAAAAGATTATAAAATAGATGGAAGGAAAGAAAATCCATTATAGAAAGATGTAAAGTGATCAAAAGAAGTTCATCTTTCCATCTCCTAAATTCTTTGTTGAAATGGGTGCTATGAAATTATAAAAATAGTAGATTTTTGGCTGTTTTGATACCTATAAATTCTGATGTGCTTTAAAAGGTATATACATTTTACAGTTCATGAAAGAGCAAGATGTGTTTTGACAAATGCAAGGAAAAGTTGTCACACAATGGAACAATATGTTGAAGCTATTTTTAAAAAGCTTTATTGTACCATTGCTGCTACATTGTTTTCACATTATACACAATTCCTCTTAGAACATGATTCCAGAAAAGGTGAATTATCCTTGTCCAGTCTAAAAAGTTTTGCATTTAAGTTGCAAATAGTTTACCTATAAGGTGATTTGCAATCACTGCACCATATTAAGATCATATTTTGAGTATATTTTAAAAAATCAGTGATTGGCTCAAATATAATCAATAATAGAAATGGAATTTTGTATAATTATTATAAAGACAATACACAAATTTTTTAGTTTCCCTCCTTTAATTTTCAAGCATGTTGAAAACATAATAACTTGAATAAAACTCATTTTGGTGGTAGGAATTTTTAACTATGTTGGTACTTTCTATCTCTAGGAAGATGCCAAATATAATGTGCCTTTTAAAAGTGGGAAAATAATATGGAAAAGAGATAAACAAAACAGATGATGACTTAGACAAAGAATGCTTTATGTTTATATGTATATATATTTATATAAATAAATTAAACATATTAAACAAGATTGGGCTAGAATAAAGGTGAAGTGAAAGGGAAGGAGATTATAATAGCCTAAATAACTATTGGAAATAGTAAAAGGAATAATTAAAATTTCAGAAAGTGTCCTTTACTGAAGAATTCAATAAAATAGTTCCCATCTTATGGATGAACAACATTCATATTTGTGCTTTAGATTATAATATTTACTTATTAACTCTTTTAAAAAAGGCATTTGGTTTCGCTCCACTTGTTTATTTTTCCTTTGCTTCTCTTGCCCTAGGAGTTGTATCAGTGAAAATTCTGCTGTGTGAGAATAAAAAGCTTCTGCACAGCAAAAAAACCAGGATCAAAATGAAAAGGGAACCCACTGTATGGGAGAACATATTTGCCAATGATATATCTGATAAAGGGTTAATTTCCAAAATACATAAAGTACTCATACAAATCAACAAAAGGAAGACAAACAACCCAATTAAAAAATGGGCAGAGGACCTGAATAGACACTTCTCCAAAAAGGACATACAGATGACCAAGAGACATATGAAAAAATGCTTAGTGTCACTAATTATCAGAGAGATGCAAATTAAAACAACAATGAGGTAACTCCTCATACCTTGGAGAATGGCTATCATCAATAAATCAACAAACAACAAGTGCTGGCGAGGATGTAGAGAAAAGGGAACCCTAGTACACTGCTGGTTTGAATGCAGACTGGTACGACCACTATGGAAAACAGTGTGGAGTTTCCTCAAAAGATTGTAAATGTAACTGCCATTTGACCCAGTGATCTCACTTCTCGGGATATATCCTAAGAAGCCAGAAACACCCATCAGAGAGAATATATGCATTCCTGTGTTCATAGCAGTGTTGTTTACAATAGCTGAGATCTGGAAACAGCCCAAGTGCCCATCAGTAGAGCAGTAGGAAAATTGTATATTTACACAATGGAATACTATGCAGCTTTATATTCTCTGATAAAGTTGACTTTTCTAACTGACTTTTATATTTTTATTTTATTCTCATAGTCACAAGTTTTATAAGAATAGGGACTACAACACTCAACTTCTATCATAAAAGAGTCTACTGAGTTTATTTAGATGCCAAAAAGTACATACAGATTCAGTGGAGAATTCAAGATGGAAGGTAATTCATGGAAAAACCATCTCCTTTGACGTTCATAAAAACATGTCCAATGATGGACTTCAAGAGTAAAGTGGATAGAATCAAACCATTTACAGTTAACCACTGAATAAACATACCTGGTAATGTATGTTGGGAGGGGGGTGGACTTCTAAAAAAACCAGAGGTAAAATTTGCACAATTGTGACACAAAAAAACAAAAACCACACCCACAACTATTTTGAATGTATATAGGTATAACACTGGCTTTAGCACAATTATAAGGTAGCAGGCACAAGCACAAGCACAATTTGTTATCCTTCCAGTCTTCCCAAGCACCATTTTGACGTTCTAATAGTTCTTCATAAGCAGAGAACAGAAATGTCTACATTAGCAAAATTTTTAATTTCCTGATCATTGGCTTTACATTACACATGTATGCTTGTCTATGCCTAGATCTGCAGATCTGCATTCCCATACTTTACAGTGCTTAACTACAGTGCCTAGTGTCTGGCACAAAAAAGAAACTCAAGAAATATTTATTGAATTAATAAAGGAAGAAATAAAAGAAGGGGGGGGAGAGAGAGAGAGAGAGAGAGAGAGAGAGAGAGAGAGAGAGAGAGAGTTGGGTTTATTTTAATGAGGATAAAGAAGTTTTCCATGTTGGTGGGCACCACATGATCCATTTCCATTAGCTTATCAATCTTCCATAGCAATTGTGTTGGGGCACGTAGACTTCCCTTGAATGTGACAAAACAGGGCAGTTAGCAGAACTTTCAGCATTGATTCTGAAAGGAATAGCTCACCTTTTTTTAAGCAGAGGCTTTCATTGACTGGTTTTCCCTCCTTGTTGACATCTCTTTTCATCCAGCTATGGAGGTATTTCCTGCCCTTTTTGACCACTGCCTTGGTGCCTTGTTTCTTGAGAAAGAGAGAGGCATTTTTCACCTCAAGGAACCCTGCTTTCTCATAGCAAGTCCATCGGGGGGCCTGGGAGCAGTGGACAAAGATGGCTGATCGGGAAGGGCCACCAGAGGAGTTGGAGACGCCCAGGCACAGTGCAGACTTCAGGTGAAGGAGTTTTGCATCCTCAGTCCACATCCACTGCTGGTTCTGCTCGGTCCCATTGCACGAGCCCATGGACACGATCTTATTTTCGAAAAGGCACTGTTGTTTCTGGACATGGACGATCTGAAACCCCTCTGGAAGATGAAAAGCTCATCTAGCACCAGGTAACAGATCACAAGGCCCATCAGAAAACAAAGCAACCCGCCCACACGTCAGCCCAGTGAAAATGGGAGGCTCACGTATCTTTTGCTATTGCAATCATTTCAAGTGAATATTCCCAGACTCAACACATGGAACTTAAAACCACAAGGCTGACAGTGTCAAAATGTCTCCCTTAGCTCCCTTTCTTTTACTTTCACATGGTTTAGGGAAGAATCCCCCCACCCCCCCCACCCCCACCCCCATTGAAATACTGACAGGAAGCTTAGAAAAGAAACAAAAATATTCAAAGACGATGGTGTGAGGTTTTAGTCCAATTAAATATGCTGAAATTGTGAAAAGCTCAGTTCCCTTTTAAACATTTTATTCTTTCCACCCCACCTCGACCCCCAACTTTAAAGGGCACCCTTTTTTTGCAATCCTTAACTTATTATTGCAATAAATATTTGTATATAAATTACACAGTTTCAATAAAAATTAAAAATTGGATGCATTTACCCCAGAATAAAAGAAATTTTCACATCCTTCTAAGCACACCTTCCTAGCAAACAGTAACCAATGAAAGACTTGATTGTCACAAACTAAATTTCGTATAGTCTTAGAGAGAATCATTTCTCTATTTTGTAACAATATCTGCAATTTTTCCCTTTAATATCAACATATTAAACTATCAGCATTTCTTAATATAAGAAATTAAACACCCAGTTGTTAAACATCAGTATTAAAAAGTGAGACATTTGGGCTCAGAAACCATTTTTAATGTGCTTACACTTCATTTGCCCAGCGCTCCCATGAAAATATTCAGACCTTCCTGCCAAATAGCAACTTCCAAATTAAACACACCACACTTCTTCATCCCCTTCAACTACATTGCTTACATTTTCTTTCTTTAACTCACACACAAAACAACACAAAATCATAACCTAATTGGACAAAAGCATGGAGAATGGCCCAGACTGTTATATAATAAAAATATCTCCTCAGGAGCCCTCTCTGCTGTGAAGGTGCCATTTCAGGAGCTGCCCGAGGCATTTGCAGGCCGTGAGGAGGCCTTTTATTTCATTTGGAGAGAAATTTCAAGTGTGGGCAGACCTGGCTCCTTTTATCCCCCACTCCTCCTCATCTTCGGCTAAACTGCCATGGAGACCTGGCTCCATTTCCGCCTCATTTCAGGCGCTTTTCAAAGGACAGAATCTCGTCTGCCAGCTGCCAGAGAAACGGGTCAGGACCCTGAGGCAGGCCCACTCACCTGGGTTCCAGAAGATCAAGCAGGTAAGAAGCGCCATGTAAAATTCAGCCTCCATTTTCCACTAAACAACTGTTCATGCTTCGCTTTGGGGGGAAAAATTCTCCCAGATAAGAGAAGCAAAGACCAGGGAAGGAAATGTGCCTTCATGGGGGGGAAAGTCAGTGACGAGCACTTCCTCCTATTGAATTGTTTGGGGAAGTTTTATACCAGTGTCCTTTTGTCTGTTTCCTTAGAAAGAAGGGATTATGATTACCTCTCTTTTTTATGTAGAAAAAAATTCCAGCCTCCAGGAGTGGAATAAAACTCCTAAGTTTTCTCCCCAGTCCATCCCTTTGGCACCTCTTAACCTCAAGAGGGAAGAAAAGAATTGTAATCTCAGATAATTAAATGCTCCCCCAACATTACATCTCTTCAGGTGATGGGTTTCTGCTGAATAAACCCACACCCTGTGATTTCTGAGGGTCTAGGACAAGTGCTGGAAAGACATAAACATGTACTGCTCCTGTAATGATGTGCTGGGAGTCTATCAAGGAAAACCACATAATGATGGCACTTCAAGGTCATTATCCCTCAAGTGATGACAATGGGTATTACAGTTGAGATAGTCATCTCTCCTGGGGAGAGGCAGAGACTAAAATTAAACCCTTCACATCATTTACTGCAGACTCCCCCCAGAAGGTAACAGCCGCTCTCCAAAGAGGAAAAAAGTACCTGCTTAACTCAACATTTAGTATTAAGAGTAGTTTATTGGCAGTATGAAACAAAGTCAACATAGCTGCATTAGAAATTCATATTTGAGCAGAACATCTAGTGTTCGCTGAGGGTAGTTTTTCTGTTGTTGTTGTTTTTAGCTTTATTTGTCTCTTGAGGATTAAAACCTTTCTGAAATGGGAGGATACCCATGGGAGCAGCCTTTAGAAGAACCTCTGGAAGAGTGACAGGTGATCATGCCCAAAGCAACTGCCTTTTATTGGGCAAGAGACTCCAGGTGGATAGCATACTCAAAAACTCTTAGTAAAAGAGAGCCAAGTATCTAAAGTTCTTGATACGTCAGAGTTGCTACAAATTTGTTTTTCCCTTTTACAGTAAAGTGGCTCACAATGTAGAAATACAGTGAATAGAGTTCTGGAGAAACAACCACCTCTATGCCCAATAATAGAGAATAAATATATAGATACCCAATGACAGTCATTGTGCTCTGTAATTGATTGATAGGAGGTACTGATAAATACACATTTAGTAGGCAATATTATCAAGACACATTTCCATATAAAATAGTTACTGCTTTTGATTTTTTTCAAAAACAAGGACTCATTTGTTAAAAATCCTTTATCAATCACTTGCAACTTTAGTGGCAAGATTCTGGTAACTGAGAAAGATAATAGCACTTAAAAAGGAACAGTTTAACAGCTGACAGTCCATTCACAAGACAGATTTTGCAAACATTAAAGCATCTAAACACACAATAATAATTTCTTCAGCAGCTCTTCCAGTCATCCTCTGATGACATGTATCACTGGGTGTTTCATACATACATTCCGGGTGGCAGATAATCAATACAAAACAAAATCCTGCTTAGCTGTGGGAGAAGTCTATCATTCCTCCATCAGCAAAGGACCTTCAGAATAACTTAGGAGCTGCTTACAAATGCATTCACATACACAAGGGGCTGGCAATCTTTCCTGTGTTGCCATCTTCCACTGTCCATGCCACAGCTTGACTTCAGGGCTTCTCTTTCATTGCAGGAAGCTTCTTCTAGAAGCATCAAGTGGGTAATTGATTAGTCACCCCTAGAGATTGATGGCCTGGTACATCTTCAGAGAATCACTGGACAGTTTCTGCCGAAAGTCTGCTCTCATACAGGCACAGAGCATGATGCACAAATTCATACTGCTCACTGGTTTGGACCATTCCGCCTCTGCAAGGAAAAGATAATACAGTAATTTCTTACTGCTAATATCCTGCAATCTTAAGTAACAGAAACCAAATCCAAGCTAGGGTGTTACGCCAATCAACAGGAGACTTGGTGAATCTTTTGTTATCCCTCTTACCTGTGTCCGAATGACCCAACTGGTGAACTTAATATGCTAATGTATACAAAGGGATTAACACAGTGCCTGGTACACGCTAGACACTTGATTACTTTCACTGACCTACCATTACTGGGGAGACAGTGCATCCTTTTGGTTAAGTACTTGGACTTGGAAACCAGCCAGGCTATCTGAGTTCAAGTCTCTCTTCTGCCAATTCTTAGTTGTGGGATCATGAACAAGTTTCTTAAAACCTGTTGTGCGTTGGTTTCTTTCCTTTTAAAGTGGGATAACTATAGCACCTATTTCATAGGGTTCTTGTGAAGGTTAAATTATTTCAATGAGTGAGTGAAATGAACATCTGGAATGTTAGTATTACTTCTCAGGTGTCTTGTCATTCATCTCATGTTAAAATGGTTCATACACTTGGATTAAAATTGATGAAAGCTGGTTTACTAAACAAAACTCAACTATGAAATGTTGCTCCTTCTACAACTACAAAGAACAACTACCTTGAAATGGTCTGAGTGTGTTATATGGAAACAACCTCAGTCTCTGGGTAGAGCATACTGATGTCCAAATACAATAGTGGGTGGGCCTTTAACTGAGTTGGAAAAAGGGGATTGGTTCTTGCTGTTTCCCCTCTGTTATCAACATTATCATCACTAGTTACTCAGCACACCTGTTGTTATTGGATTAGTAGAAGGTAGCAGCCTTTGTGAGAAATGATGATGTTTCTCATTATACTTTTATATATAAAACAGCTATCTCATATTTTGCTCTCTATAATAATAAAAGGTTCTTATACTTGGCAGAGCTACCAGATAGTAATATAAAACCCTACTTATTTTTCCTGCTTACTGAATAACTGCATCACAGTTAGTAACTATTTTTAGTTCTATAAAGTTTCCCTAACTCTGAAATCATACAACTAATTTTGAAATGTTTTAGCTGTTGTTACCATTCTAAATAATTATTTTTAGACTAGAGGCCCAGGGCATGAAATTCATGCACTCCAGGGGGAGGGGAGTGTCGCTCAGCCTGGCCTATGCCCTCTCACAGTCCAGGAGCCCTCGGGGGATGTCTGACTGATGGCTTAGGCCTGGTCCCCTCGGCAGTTGGACATCCTTAGCGCTGCAACGGAGGTGGGAGAGGTTCCCGGCACCACCGCTGCCACTCGACAGCCATGAGCCCGGCTCAGGGCTTCTGGCTGGGCAGTGCTCCCCCTGTGGGAGCACATGACCACCTGGGGGAAGCTCCTGCATTGAACATCTGCCCCTGGGTGGTCAATGCACATCATAGCAACTGGTCGTTCTGCTGTTTGGCCAATTTGCATATTACCCTTTTATTATATAGGATCATATAAGCACTTCAACTTAAAAAAAAGGTATATTGCCTCACTGTAACATGATTTTTGGTTAATGGTAATAACTAAAACTGGGCTTGTATCTATGTTTACTTGTCAACCTCTATAAATGTAAGCATACAAGAAATTCAGATAGTAAGACTCACCCTTCTAAACTAAACAGATCTACATGATGCCAAAGTGATATATTTGGTAAAAGATAAAGAGGTAAATATGCAGTTTCCAGTGACATCCACTTTTGGCAGAAGTGTTTCATTAGTCTTTCCCCCTAGAACGGTACATTTTGTTGTACTGAAGGCAACTTTCTGGCCAAGTGTTCCTTGGTCATAAGTTGGCAACAGAAATGGGCAGCTGAAGCTGTGGTAAATCTTCCTCTTAGCTGGATGGTGACCTCTGGGCACACCTAGAACACAGCAGGTGTCTGGAAGATTGACAGGGAAGCTCGAGCGATACAGCCACAGTAAATTTCAGGGCAGCTGCAGGGACTGAGAGGTACCTGCCTCCCTCCCTCCAGCACTCACCCAGCTCAGGGCACCATTAGTCCTCCCCCTTGAACTGCAGATATATGGAGCCTTGAATGTGCTAATGGATCTCATGGGCTCTGGTCTTGTGAATTTCCTCTCTCTATTCACCTCAATTGAGGCAAGCTTTCCTCCTTCCTGTCTGTTCTGATGATCACTGGTATTTACATGTTCAACTGGTGAATGAATGAGACACAGTCTAGGTCTTCATAACTATTACAAATGGGTCAGCAGAGTATTTTAACATTCGGAGTGTATTTTCTATGACGTTCCGTTAACTAAGTCAAGGTTGTCTCAGCCAGTGAGGTGGGGAAGATGAGGAAGTGGACCTAGTAGTAGGCTAGCAAAATCCTTGGGCGTCTGAAGGCTTAAGGAAGGTACATGAAAAGTTATGTTACTTCCCCCTTAACTTGAAAAATAAAAATGGAAGAATTAACATAGAAGAGATCCTCAGAGACCACTGATGTCAATCGCCCACACAAGCTAGCCTTGCAGAGAGAGCAGTCTCCGTGGCAGATGGTCAGCCGGTTTCTGCTGGAATCCTTGTGGGGTGAGGCTCCTCAGGGGAAGCCTTCCTCAAAGTTGGCAGGAAAACATGAAGACATCAAAATGAATCCATCCCTTTCTAACTGTCACCCCATTGGATGAACCAAAATAACCCAAAAAAGGCTTAAGGCTCCTCCTGTTAGTCACACAATAGCTCCCTAAATGCTAGAAAACAACCATCAAAGTCCCATACTCTTTTCTTCTCTAGACTAAACATCCTGTGGTCATTCAATATTTCCATCCAGCCTGGTTTCCCTGTCACTCACCAGTCTAGCCTCCCTCTTCTATAGGCTATTTTATCAACTATGACCTTCTTAGAGTGTTGTGTCTATTCCCAATGAGATCAAGTCAGTGGGAACATTTTCTCCCTTGAGTTGCACATTATTGGCTAATTAACTTGCATTTGCAGATGCATCTGGTGGTCAGATCCCACAGTGTCCACCTGGTGGCCAGTACTCAGCAATTGGAGTGTTAGGTTAATGAAAAAGTATGCAGGTTGGGTTTTTTTTTTTTTTAATATGAAAATTAGAGCTCTCTCCTACCCTGAACCTACATTATTGAATTTTAAAAATTAAATGCAGGACTTTCTATT